GAGAGAGAGAGAGACTGGTTTATTTGTACCATACAAGTACACACAAAAGCCTGTAAGCAGCCATATTTGGCTGAATTGAGAAGGCTTTAAAACACAATGCTTACTTTAAGTTAAAATTACAGAAATAATCTATAGTTGTAATATGCAAGGCTTGTATACGTAAAGGCTGATGAAGCGGATCATTTTTCATCGTTCAATAGCTTAACACAGTACGGCAGAGTAGTGTTCAAGAAACGGGACGTTCTGCACCTAAACTGGTTTATGTCATGTGAATTTCTGAGGTTTCTGTCATGTACATCAACCCGGCGTGAGGGTAGCCAAGAGACAAAGTCGGACTTAACTAATGATTTGGCAAACTTTACACTTTAAACTTTAGTAGCGGTACAAAAGAAGTTAATATTACGATGCAATTCACATCCGAAAAATTGTGCTATATTTTCCCCTTTCGTGCAACTCTGCTACAGAAGACATTGCACGGTCGTACTTAGTATCCACTAGACTCCTTTGCAGGCTGAATATGTAGTGGAAATCGACCTAACATATTCTAAATGGCCAGAGGAGTTAGTAGATCATAGAGGGTCCAGCTTGGTTGCAGCCTGCAAAGGAGTCTGCTGGTTGAGACTAAGTCGTACTCGAAGCCTAGATCCTCTTACCTACATTGTAAGACAACGACCTGATTCAGATTGCAATTGCAATGTACACAACTTAACATATTGATAACATAACTTACAAATAGATAGTCAATAGTCGTCAGTTCTGATTTGGTAGGAAACATAACAAAGTTACACACATAAGTTCTAGCTTATGGCAACGGCTATCATACAACACTGACGTCCTTTGGAAAGGAATTGTGTTGACATGGTTTTCAGTTTTGCTCAATACTTTTGATCGGCCTCTGAAAGCTATTGGATTTCTGTACTAGTGTACTGTTGACATTTTACCCTACACGTGGATTGACATCCACTGAGACATCCTACACTGTTTTGTGATTTGACCATATGCACTGGATCAAACTAGTATGCATTGGATCAAACTGGATCATCGATCATAGTATGTCTAACTCACGGTCCGGTTGTAGGTTCTTGTGCAGGTGTGTAGCGAGGTAGTCAGGGTGGCTCTTGACGCCATGGTTCCCTACGTAGAACCAGTACTCAACCAGCTTGGGCAAGTTGCCGCCTTTCGGAGGCTTGAAGAAGTTCCAGACGAAAGCACCAGCCATCTTCTCTCAGATTCTCTATCTTACAGCTTCTGGAAACACTGCACAACTTGCGCTGGTGTCTGGTACAAGACTGAGTCCCAACCTACTGAAAAGAAAAACAGCTGAGAGGTTGAAACCTGAGCATGCGCGAACCTTTTTTGTTTGACCTACTCGTTGACAGCAAAGGCTGCGGGGTACTGACATGAACGCGTACTCAATCAAACATTCAGGGTTTGCATACTTTTCATACCACCCCTGGACCCTTTCTTTAAATTTTACTACCTCTTAAAATTACCATGGGTAGAAGTCTACCTGATAAAGGCATCCAATGCAATTTCAGGGCAGCAAAACTGGATTTTCAAAGTCAATTTTAATCATTATCTTTTAATGTAGTAAGTTGAATTTTGTATCGTAGGCTAGTTCTAGCTTTTTGTGGGTGGTAACTATAAAAATGAAAAATAAAGAGACGCCTCAAGTAGCTTGCTTTCGGTGACTATTTTCAAACGCTTTAAGAGCAGTTGTCTGTAAAAACCAAGCATAAGGTGGCCAAACTCAAAAAATCAAATTCTCTTAAATTTTGTGTGGTGGTAGGGACTTGGTCCAAACTTACAAAAATGGGTAAGTTTTGGTTCGCTGGTTGATGGTTGCCATGGCAACAGCCATTTTTCAAAATGGCGGATTTTTTACCTTGTGGAGGCATAAGTCTTGCCCAAAATGGACCATCTTTTACCTTCCGTATCTCAGAGAAAGT